GGAAAATGCTATCCACATCCAAAGAAAGAACTATGGAAGTCAAATTGCTATCACTTATTTTTACCTTCTGTTGAGTTTTGTTTCCTCTTTCTGATGGTTCCTCCTACTGGTTTTAATTTTTACTTACAACACCACTAATGTGAAAATATGTGTAATGGGAACGTAAATGTATAGCCTATAACAGATTGTGCACTGTCTTGGGGAGGGTAGTGGGGAGGAGGGGAGAGAAAAATTTTAAACACAAAGCATATGGAAGTGATTACTGATAAATAAAATTAAATTAATAAAAAAAATTTTTAAGAGTTTATGGTTCAAGAAGAAAGAAAAGGGATGGGAAAAGAAATATACTGGAGTGAGGAAGATTTATCTCACATAATTGGAGTGCATAACTAGAAGACTATACAAATAAGGAGGAAAGAATAGGGAAGAACATGTTACATTTGAAGTTCACTATCATTCAAACTAGTCAAAGAGATGAATATACACACATTAGGGTGAAGAAGTACATTTTTCAACAGGAAATCGTGTGAGAAAGGAGAGAAGGGAGGAGAATAAAAAGGAGGGTACATTAAGGAAGAAAATTGTCTTAAGCAAAACAAACTCTAAGCACAGAAGGTGGATTAGGAAGAGAGGTTTAAAAAGAAAGAAAGGGGCAGGTAGGTGGTGCAGTGGATAGAGCACCAGCCCTGTATTCAAGAGGACCTGAGTTCAAGTCAGGCCTCAGACACTTAACACTTACTAGCTGTGTGACCCTGGGCAAGTCACTTAATCCTATTGCTTAGAGAAAGAAAGAAAGAAAGAAAGAAAGAAAGAAAGAAAGAAAGAAAGAAAGAAAGAAAGAAAGAAAGAAAGAAAGGAGGGAAGGAGGAAGGGAAGGAGGGAAGGAGGGAAGGAGGGAAGGAGGGAAGGAAGAAAGAGAAAAAGAACCTATGACTGGGCAAGGGGGAAAAGAAGCAGATAATACCAAATCTAGAACACTGGTGCTGAACACACTCCATCTCTCTTGCCACACTCTTCTTTATAAAGAGTGGATAGGAAACAAAGAGAAGAAAAAGTATAAGAGAATTGGATGGGGGGAAGTACACAATAATGACGATAAATTAGTGTGAATGGAATGAACTCACCCATATAATAGAAGAGATTAGAAGACTGGACTAGAAAACAGAAAAAACATGCTATTTACAAGTAACATAATTGAAATACAAAGATTCACAAAGAGGTGAAATGTAAAGATAAAGCAAAATCTATTATTCTTCAGCTGAAGTGAAGGAGATAAGGGTAGTAATCATGATCTCAAACAAAGCAGTAGCAAAAATAGGCTTAATTAAAAAAGGCAACCAAATAGACTACATTTTGCTAAAAAGGCATCATAGACAATGAATTAATGGCAATACTAAAACATATGCACTAAATAGCATAGCATCTAAGTACTTAAAGGAAAAGTTAAATGAGTTTGAAAACTAGACAAAATTACAATAGAAAAATAAGATAGAATCATACAAACAATAGATGATTTTATTAAAGATAATAACAACAAAGAGACAACAAACAAAAATTTGGGAGTATAGCCAAAGAAATCCTTAGGGGAAAAAAAGTGTATCTTTAAATGCTTTTACCTATAAAAGGAAGAACAGATCTATGAATTGGCCATGCAACTAAAAAAAACTAGAGGACCCACAAATCAAAAACCTCAATTAAACATCAAATGCCTTAAAAGGCAAAGAAGAGATTAACAAAATTAAAGGCAAAAAAGTAACTAATAAATAAAACTAAGAGCTGGGTTATTTTAAATAGATAAGCCATTAGTTAATTTGGTTTTTTTTTAAAAACAAAAGAGCAAGTCTAGTGTTGACAAAGTCAATGATCTCAGCTATTAGGGTAAGAACTCACTATTCAACAAAAACTTCTGGGAATATTGAGAGAAACTTGGTATAGGCCAATATCTCACACCATCTACCAAGTCAAGCTCCAAATGGATACCTGACTTAGGCATACAGAGTAAACAGATCTGAGGACTGATGAGAAAATTACCTATCAGATTTATGAAGGGAACAGCTCATGACCAAACAAGGGATAGAGATTAGAGATTAGAGAAGGTAAAGTGGACAATTTTGATTACATAAAATTAAAAAGTTTTCACACAAACAACCAATTCAACTAAAGTTAGAAGAAAAAAGATTTGCAACAAAAAAAATGTACAAGTTTCCTTCAAAAAGATATTTCTAAGATATAGAGGGAACTTATTCAAATATATAAGAATAAGAGCCAATTCCCACTCAATAAATAGTCAAAGGATATGAACAAATAGTTTTCAGAAAATGAAATCCATTCTATCAAATAGCCACATGAATAAATGTTCCGTAATGATTAAAGAAAGGCAAATTAAAACAACTCTAAGGTACCACTTCAGCTTAGTTAAGTTGATTAAAAAAAAATGGAAATGACAAATGCAAAAGGACTATAGGAAAACAGGTACTTTAATGCACTATTGGTAGAGCTGTGAACTGGTCTAGTCATTCTAGAAAGCAATTTGTTAACTTTGCCACCCAAAATTACTAACATGTACATACCCTGTGATCCAGTGATAGTAATATTGCTAATAGTGATACTGCTATTAGGTCTATACTGCAAAGAGATCAAAGAAAAAGAAAAGGTACCTATATGTACAAAAATGTTTATACCAACTCTTCTTGTGGTGGCAAAGTACTAGAAACTAAGGGGATGCCCATCGATTGGGAAATAGATAAACAAATTATGGTATATGAATATAATGGCATACTACTATACTCTAAGAAATTATGAGAGAACAGTTTCAGAGAAACCTGGGAAGGCTTATATAAACTGATGCAGAGTGTAGTGAGCAAAACCAGGAGAACAATTTATACAATAACAACAAGTATATGTATCTAAAAAACTTTGAAAGACTCTGATTAATGCCATGGCCAACCAATATTCCAAAGGACTCATATTGAAACATGCTACCCATCTTCTGACAGAGAGGCAGTGGACAAGGGTTTCAGATTTATACAAATTTTTTTGTACATAGACAATTGGAGGAAGTTTCTTTGTTGGAGTATGCATATTTGTTACAAGGGTTTTAATTTTTTGTTGTTGTTGTTCTATTGGAAGTGAGAATGAGAGGAAAAGAAAAATAAATGCCTATTAAATGAAAAAATAAGAAAAATTAAATCTAAAATTGTTTCTTTCCTTTCTGTGCTTTGCAAGGATTATTTCATTGAACACGTAGTAAAGCTTTGTAAGAAAAAGACAAAAAACTGCTTAGGAAACAAGGACAGTAACCAGGGACTGGGAGAACAAATAAGATTATATTATGCCCAGAATCATAACCTATCATAGTATTTCAAAAGAACCAATCTATAAAATAAGAGTTAAAGGATCTCACATTTTAAAGGGACTGAAAGGTAATTAGACCAATTCGTTCTCATATAGGAATCACCTCTGTAACATTCCCAACAAGTGGTCATCTAGTCATCACTGAAAGCCTTCTACTGAGTGGGGAATCACAACTTCCTAAAGCAGCTCATCCATTTTTAGATAACTCTAATTGCTAGGAGGATTTTCTTTATATAGTACATAGGCAGATTTAGCCTTTCTACAACTCCTGACTATAGCCCCTTGTTCTGCCTTCTGTGGCCAAGCACACAAAGTCTAATCCATCTTCCATGTGACAGTTTTTTTCATAACTTATTGGCAGCTAAAATGTGCCTGTTAGAATTTAAAACAGGAATCAATATTTAGTTTGGGGTTTCCGTATAAGGATGGGATGATGATCTTGAGTCTCAACTGGGAGGTGGGATTGGGGAAGGAAATTTTCAATTAGAAGGAAATAGAACGAAGATAATAGACATACTTGTAAAGCCCTCAAAAAAATAGTTTTAAAAATTTGGCTGGTACTGGTTTCCCTCTGGATTGAAGATACTAAAATATTCAACGTAAGGATCTCTGAGATATAACTAGATAGACTACTACTCCGGTCTTCTGCATCCTTCATTGATGAATCTCCTACATTGACTAACTGAAGTAGGTTCCTGAGTGTTTTGGAGTAGCTGGACATATTTTCTAACTGACTGTATGGGGATCTGGGACTCATCATCAATGTAAAGAAAGGGGCTATGTCTATCACAGAGGATTCAGCTAATATTGTTCCCAAAGATAAGCCTAAGAAGATGAGCAGCATTCAGAGATAAAGCCACTGGGAGGGGGGAAGTGGAGAAAGGGTGGATTAATGCCTAATCTCCTTCAAGGCTTTCCACTCCAGTTTTCTTAAACCCCTCTCTAACAGACTGAAACTAAATGAGGCCAAGCACAACACTTCTTCCTTCAACAAGGCTCTGCAAAGCCTACGTATATACCTGGACAATGCTTAGTGTTCTGGGTTGCTCAGTCCCACAAACCTTTGTAATTCAAGAGAAACAGTATAGAAGAGTCACTGCGGACACGAAAGAACAGATATATACAGATTCGAATATGACCAATGCCCCTATGAAATACCTCATTACAATAGTGTATGCAGGGTATTGCAAACAAAAAACTTTCAAATATTGTATTTCAGCTCAGTTACAGTACAGAATACATTTGGTAGCCAAGTGTCTATTACATGAGGAGGGAAATATCTAGACCAGATACAGATCTGCCAAGATGCTCCTTAACACCCAATTTTCTCATCTAACAGGTTGTTTTCATCTACACACTGCCCTAAATAAGAGCTCTGTGTGTTTTGATTCTTCTGTATACCCAGACAGTTTGGAAACCTAAATAGCTTTTTATTTAAACAAACACATACACACATACACCATTTCACAATGCATTTACCAAAAATCATTAGTGATAACAATTAAAATTAAATGCCTTTTTACTGGGACTGTACTTTGTCCTCATTCTGTCCCCCTCCCACAACTTCTAAACCCGAAGATATTGTCCAGGTTTTGGCTCCTAACGAAGAGTTGGTTTTATTCCCCACCTATTTCCCACCAGGTTACCTTTCTGAGGAATGCCATTCTTGGCCTGTACTGCTGGCCTTGATGTTTGATTGTCATCCTGGAAACTGAACAGTCTCAGAATCACTTAAGTAAGTGATGGTGTAGTGGTTAAAAATAAATTTAAAAGACCAAAAAAAAAATTGAGAAGACAAGAAATCTTATGGCCTAGGGATAAGGAGAGGTAATGATAAGGAATTGGGTGGTAAATGGTGCTGGCTGCTGCTGCTGCTGTTGCTGCTGTTGCTATGATTTAGTCTCGCTCTGCAAGCTGCTTGAAAAGCAGCTGTGGAATAAGGCACCCACCCAATCAGCAAGTGGTTCTGTGTTCATTAGCATGAGCTGTACTTGTGCCATCTGGCCACAAGGGGGAGGGCGTGCACCCAACCAAGGCTACCTCAGCATTCCAATGAGGTAATGGGGAGCTGAGGATACAAGAGGATTTGTAGAAGGCAATCATCACCTCTGTACACGTCTTGAGTGGGTAGAGCCTAGGCTAACACACTACTTCAGTGCCTCACTCACTGAAAGATGCTGTCAAATATCCAATAGCACAGTTAGTAAGACTGATGATAGACGTGTGGCATAGCATAAAGAATACTGAATCTGGAGTCAGAACTTTTGGATTCAAGTCCTGGGTCTACAAATAATAATAGAGGTAGCTAGCATTTATATATTGATTTAAGGTTTGAAAAGTACTTTACTAATATTATCTCATCTGATCCTTGCAACAGTAAGTGCTATTATTACTACCCCTCATTTTGCAGATGAGAAAATTGAGGCAGACAAAGGCTAAGTGACTTATCTGGATCACACTAGTAAGGATCACAACTAGTAAATGTCTGAGATGGGATCTTAATTCAGGCATTCCTGACTCCTAGTTCAGGCTGTATCCATTGTGCCACCTAGCTGCCTCAACTATCTGGGTGTTCTTAAGCAAGTCACTTTCCCTGCTGGGTCTTTATTTTCTTAGCTATAAAATGAAAGGGTGAGATTTAAAAGATCTTGAAAATCCTTTCCAACCCTGGGATTCTATGACTCAAAATGGTCATAGAAAGGAATCTCACTTTATCTCTTCCCTCTCCCTCACCTTTTTGTATGCATTGAGGAGCTGGGGATGGAGGGTGAAGGATGGAATTGTGGAAGAAGATGGAGATATTTTCTTCAAGATGGCATAATCTTTTTTCCTGAGTGGGGAATAACTTACGATGCTGTTTAGTTTTGTCTTCTCGGTATGTTGGTCAATTTTCAAACTGCTAACTACAATAAATTATATGACCTTTAAACAAAGATGGCATGATTATCCATAGCATATCATATTAAGGCTGCAAAGGACCTCAGAGATTATTTAGTACAACCCCTTCATTCTAGAGAAAATTGAGGATGACAGAGATGGATCCAAGGCTTTACAAGAAATTAATGGCTGAACGAGACTAGAAACCAAAGTTTCCAGAATCCCCGTCTAGCACATTTTCAACCTCACACGGCACAATGACTCTCAACCCAGATTGGTTCAGAGAACCTGGTTTCCATCCATTGTGAATAGATTCCCCAACAAGATAACTTGACAACCAATATAATGTGCCTGGGGTTATCTTAGCCTTCTTTTCATCAAATAGGTGGGGACTGTGGGTGTAGACTTGTCTCTGAGTTTATTAGGTTTACTCCACTTTCTTTATACTAAAAGGTTCTTTGGGAGGAAGAAAGATACATCTGAAAGTGTTATCTACACAAGGTGGATACTATGACCAGTAAAAGGATTCAGCAGAGGTATCTCTATCCCATCCAAGATCTTCAAGGAACATCAAGGCAGTAGTGCATACTTTCTGGTCCATCCTGTAGTGTACATGCCAAGATCTTTATGCCTTTGCTTGCCCTCCACCAAAGAAAATATGGCTTCAAATTTTTTTATTCACAATATCACAATAGGCCACAAGATGGCAACATCACTCAAAAAAATAAATCTTTCTATGTAAAATTAGATTGAATTCAATTTAATTTAATAAACAATTTAAGAAGCAATGGGGTAAGGCCCTGAGCATACAAAAACCCAAGAAAGAGTGTCTGATATCTAGAAGCTTGCATTTTACCAGGAGGTTTATATACATATCTATATCTATACACACACACACACACATACGTGTGTGTATGTATATATGCATATACATCTATACGTGTGTATGTGTGTGTATATACACATATATGTGTGTATGTGTGTGTATAAATATACATGTTAATTTTGAAATGAATGAGTGGATTATTTATTGCTTACTCCCCCTATCGGAAAATAACCTCTTTGAGAACAGAGATTGTGTCCTTTTTGGTTTTCTTCCACCCCATCCCATCCCTTTGCACAATGCCTGCATATAGCATTTCATATTAGAGCAGCAGTAGAGGGGTCCTCAAGGAAGTTATATTCTAATAGGGGAAGACCATATATATTAGATGCTGATTGCTAGGGAAGAGTGTTTTAATCTGGGAAGTTACAGTGATGGAGAATGGAGCCATAGGACAGTTGATTAACATATACCTTCTAGAAGTAATGATTGGGTGGATTTGATTACTTATCTCAAAGCATGACGTAAAAGGGATAGGGTGAGGGAACAAGGAAGAAATAAGGCTGGAGTTAAGTATGGCTGGGCATCTAGGACCTAGTAAATAAGATGGACTCTCATCAGTCAGAACAACACAACCCCAAGGCAGCAGTTCCAAAACAGTCTGGATTAGCTACTCCTAGGCATGGTCTCTGGAGGTCTGGTTTCAGGGTACAGAAGCAGTGGCAAATCTACAAGTTGACAGCAGGAAAATTTCCCTAGTGAAATATGGTTGGTGATCTGAGAGGTCCAGCCATGAGAAGCCCTCACCAATCAGGATTGCAAGACCCCTTGGCAGGAGAGGTGAGTGGCTTAGATTCTCCAAGGCATGACCTCTGAAAGTCTAGTTCAGATAAGACCAGAGCAGAATGGTGGCATGGCATAAAGATAGTCCAAGTAAAGCATTGTTTGGGGTCTGGAGTCACTTTGAAATAGTAAGCTCTCACAAATAAGTATGGAACAGCCCAGCTACATTCATCAGCTGGGATAGGTGCCTGAGTTTTTTGGAGTAGCTGAACATGTTTTCTAACTGACTGCTGGGGAGCTGGGACTCCATGACCAGCTAGACAGAGGAGTGATACAAACAAAGGAAACTAGAGTACAGTGCTATGAAATCTCCTTTTATAATAATCCTTTTTGTTGTTTAGTAGTTTCAGGCATAATCAACTCTTCATGACCCCATTTGGAAGGTTTGTTTGGACAGATACTGGAGTGGTTTACCATTTCCTTCTCCAGTTCATTTTACAGATGAAGAAATTGAGGCAAACAGGGTTAATTCAGAGAGCATAAAGGAGAATTGTTGTTCAGTAGGCGACTTGCTCAGGGTCATTCAGCTAGGAAATGTCTGAGACTAGATTTGAACTCAGGTCTTCCTGACTCCAGGCCCACTTTTCTATCTGCTGTGCCACCTAGCTACCCTACAGTATATTACAGGGAACTGAATGAAGTAGCTATGTCAATTGATGTGGCTATTCTTGATCTTGTCAACATGGTAGATCAAGTAGCCGAGGCATCAGGTGAGTGGCATGGGGTTATTGATCTTACCAAGGCCTTTTTCTTCATATCCATAGGTAAGACGAGACAGGTGATTTCACCTGGGAAGGAATTCAGCATACCTTCACTATTTTTCCTTGGGTTTACTTGAACCCTTCATATTGCCACAGTTTTGTTGGTCAGAGACCTAAAAGAGGCCCTATTTCTTGAGAACATTTACATCTACCACTGCATTGATGACATGAGGTTGACTGACATCTGCCATGGTGGCAGAGACTCTATTTATAATGATGGAATAGTTAATCATATGAATAACAAGGTTGAAAAATCAACTATAAGAAAATTCAACTATAAGAAGTTACTTGGAACCCAAAATTTTTAAAACAAAAGTTAAAAAAAATTGTTTTCACATGCAACTGGGAAATAAGATATATAGGAAATGGGGTATAGAAATCTATGCTGCCCTACAGGAAAATAGAAGGGGAAGGGGATAAGAGAAGGGGGGGGTAATAGAAGAGAGGGTAGATTAGGGGAAGGGGTACTCAGAGTTTATGCCATCTTGGGGTGGGGGGAAGGATGAGATGGGGAGAAAATTTGGAACTCAAAATCTTGTGGAAGTGAATGTTGAAAACTAAAAATAAACTAATTAATTTTTTAAAAAAGAACAGTTACACATATAAGTAACAAAGTTGAAAAATCAAGTGTAAGAAAATTCAGGGTCCAACCTACTCAGCTAAATTCTGGGGAATATACTAGATGAAGAAAACTCAGATGATTCTGGGTATAGCTACTTACATTTACTCTCCCATAGTCTAAAAAGGAAGCTTAGAGGTTTATCAGCCTCTTCCAGTTCTGAAGAACTCATATTCCCCACTTAGGTATTGTAATGGTCTTATTTTTAGTAATATTGTCAGACACCTTCAATGAGGGCAAATTTGGCATCAAATCAGCTACCGTATTGATGGTAAATTCTTCAACTTGAAAAGGCTACAAGCCAAGACTAAAGTAGAGGGAAAGTTGGTGCATGATTTTTTTGTTTGCACATGACTGTGCACTCAATGCAGCCTCTGAAGCTGAGATGCAACAAAGTATGGATAGATTCTCTGCTGCTTGTGCTAATTGGGGCCTAATAATTAACACCAAGGAAACATGGGTACGGCACCAGCCAGCACCACACCATCAATATGTGGAACCAGGAGTTACAGTAAATGGAAAGTTTTGAATACTGTGGATAAGTTCAGTTACCTTGGCAATATACTTTCCAGTGATGTACACAATGATAAGGTTGAAGCATGCATTGCCAGAGATAGCTCAGTGTTTGGGAGCCTCCAAAGGAAAGCATGGGAGAGAAGAGGTATTAGACTGACCATCAAATTTAAGGTCTACAGAGATGTTGCCCTGACCTCATTGTTGTATGCCTATGAAACCTGGACATTATATCAGTGCCATGCCAAGAAACTGAATTGCCTCCATTTCAATTGTCCAAGAAGATTCTAAAGATTACCTGGAAGGATAAGGTACCAGATACTGAGGTCCTCTCTTGAGCTAAACTGCCAAGAATTCAAACTCTACTGCAGAGAACACAACTCTGAGGTTGCCATATTGTTTGAATGTCAAACGTACGTTTGTATATAAGACTATT